CAGAAAGGAGAATTCTACTGCCTGAGGGTTATTATCCCTAAGTGCGGCCGAAGACCGCCTAGGCAGAATGGTGTTCTCTGCAAAAGTTGTTCAGCCCCCCTTCTTTGGCAGCACAGAAAGGAGAATTCTACTGCCTGAGGGTAGAATTCTTAATTAATTATTTAAGTAAATCGCGTTTATAAATATCTTCACAAACCTTTGCACATTTCCCAAACAAGCACAATCGCGCGATTTTTTTTATTAAAAATTTTCATTATTTATCAAATTATCGATGTACGTTTTCTACATTAGTGTACTTTGAACTACAATAACACCAGTAAATATTATTTCCACCCGAAAAAAATTATACCGTTATGATCAGGAGTAAGACCCCTATCGATCCTAATATTATAATTTTTAATAAGAGCAATGTATGTACATACGTATTGTACACTTATACTCCCTAATTATACGCACTTATTTGTGGTGTATTTTTTTTTAACGTATGGTAGCATACATTAGGTGTGTACTCGTACGCCCAACTATCTAAAGTTTTAGAAAACTTTTACTGGTTTTGCGTTCTCGTACCCAAAAAACTTGCAAAGTAGGGGAAATTGAGAGAGCAAAATGTGAAAGAGAGCTGCAAATTTCTGCTGGAAAAATTTTTCCCAGCTAAAACTTGCAAGTAAGAAAATCAGCTGATCACAAACACATGTTTGTAAATAAACAAAAGAAAATATGGCCTTTTTGAGTTATTATTGCAATTTTTATTATTAATGCTAGTATACAACTAAAAAGTGCGTAAATTTAATAAGCACAACATTCATTGAGTTTATTTTTCGTTAATTTGCTATTAATCTCCAGTTTGTTTACTTTAGTGTGTGCTGACTATGGTTGCCGTATGACATTTTTCGTTTGTACCATAATTTACCTTTAAATATACCAAAATAGATTTAAGTGCAGCATGCTGAAATGTTGTTTTGCTGAAGTTTTCGGTTTTGGTAGGTTGATTGTAGAAATGAAAATTTTATAATTTTAAACCTACCCTATTACATTTTTTTGGATCAATGATGGGTGTTTGGAGGAGATACTATTGTGCGTCACCATGTGATATCAAAAATAATTATGAGAAAAATAACTTATTCATTCCGATATAATTAAATCGTATTTTAAAAAGGTTTTTTTAATCCAAAACTATTCAAATGTATGCCTAATCGGAGGAAAATGCACCAAGCAGAAAATAAATTGCCAAATTAATCACCAGTGGCAATTGTGCAAGTGATCAGCTGTTTCGAAGGTTGCAAGTTTTTGCAAATTTTGCGTTCTCGTACTATTGTTGATATTTCGTCTCTTTGACAGCGAATGCTGCTAAATTCTCAGAACTTTTGCTGCTGCAGAATTTTGTACTCTCAATACGAGTACACACCTATTATTGAAAGTACTAATCAGTTTTGATTTCGTTGGACATTTCTGAATAAGAATAGCTTTATTCCGGTTAATTGATCACAGTTTTAAGATATGCCTTTTTCGCGTAAAACATGGTTTCTCCGACCACTGTGGTGCGCTGCGTACTTTAGAACCGGCTGGCCAATTGCCTTGTATGTTGCCAACAACGTTTCTTTGTCTTTGCCCCAGGTACTGCCGGCTAGCAACTTGAGCACCTTATTACGGCTCTGTTCTTTGTTGACAATTGCGGTTGCGTGCGTAGAGAAGGAGGGCAGACTGTCGAAAGTTACTCCGAGTATTTTTGGGTTATTCAACGTCGGAATTTGTGTGTCATCAACGTGAATGCCCAGCACTAGTCTGACCTCCTTCGTTCAGGTGGTGAACAAGGTAGCTGAGAATTTTGTAGGGGGAGGGTTAGGCTCCTAGCAGTGAAGAAGCGAGAAAGCTCGGAGAGATACCCGTTTACTTTCGAGCACAAGTCATCAATTCCATTCCCAGACGCCATTATCGAACAACCACCAGCGTAAGAGACAAGCAGACTACCTCTACTTGGTGAGGGAGCGTGGAAATGTAATAGTTAAATACTAATGTGGAAGGACACCGTTCCCTCGACAGCCACGACGGTTCTACGTACCGGAATGACTTTTACCCTACCAATGGCTGTTGTTTCGGCGATCTAACCCCTTTTAGGTCGGTGAAATATCTCAGACGTTGAAGTCACCTACTACCAATCTGTTTTCACCTCTGAGTAGCGCACCTATGCCAGGGTGATATTCTGCCGCGCAGCAGGTGGCAGGTACGTTAAATATTTCGAGCTCGACATCGCCTGTCCGGGCAGCTATGCCCTGACATTCTAGGCTGATGTCCTTCCGTCGATGTCTTCTTCGATAAGCTGACACCGCACTGTGTGGTGTAGGATGAACACTAGTAGGGTTCGAACGATACTATCGATATTGAGTAAGCATCGATACTGAGGGTATAAAAATGAGTACTTTAATACTCGATACCTTATTTTTACTCGATAATTTGCAAAGTACTCGTAGTATCAAAAACTTTTTAAATTTTTTCTTCTATTGGCAACCCGATTTTCTTTGCTTATATGGATACTATCATTCAGTTTTGTTCATCACTTGAAATAAACTGAAATTTCGTGTAGTCTGTTGCATAACATAAACCAAATAAGTTGAAGTTGAATAGCCTTATTCATAAAAAATAAAGTAGGTTTAAAGAGCTTAATAAAATGACGTTTTCATACATTTTTCAATTTAAAAACCTTTATTATTTTTTATGAATAAGGCCATAAAACATTACGCAAAGTTCATGAAAATGCAGAATTTTTAGAAACCTTTTGGGTATGCAGTTTCAACTTTACGTGTAGCCTCTTATCGTTGACTTTTAATTCATACTTGCACATTATTATACTTAAATTGAATAAGCTACAAAAATGCATACCCAAAAAGTTTACAAAAAATCTTAATAAAATCTGAAATTCGTTAAAGTATATATGTATGTATGTATGCACATTTAACGTCAAAATTACTTCTGACGTGAAAGTAAGTTCTGCAATGAAATAAAAATCAAATATTTTAAATTTGTATTGTTTTAATTTCAGGAAATAACTAGATATACGACCGAAGAATAAAGTAGTTTTAGAATCCCAAAAAACGTATTTTGATGAGTTCGATACTCAGTTGTATCGATACTTTATCCCTGATATTTTTAGAGTATCGATACCATGAGCTCGTTGCCAGAATGAGTACTCAGTATCGATACCAAAGTCTGAAATTTCGAACTCTAAACCCTAAACCTTCACCATTATCTCGTTCGCGATCTTTACGGAGCACATTGTGGCGGCGCAACTCAACAGTGTTGAGTTGCTGTGGAACTTCGTTTCTAGGACCGCAGCTATCAATATGCCATGCCGACCCATAAAGACTGCTTTCTGTTGCCGTAATCGGAGCCCAATCATCACCTGCAGTAGATACGGAGCTTCAATTGCCAAGAGAGACCCGCGTTACCCTGGCTCAATTAAGGTCTGGATACTGTAGCCGCCTCAACAGCTGCCTGTCCAGACTCGACCCCAACATCCCTAATGAGTGCCCGGCATGTGGAGAATCCCCTCATGACACCGACCACCTCTTCACATGCCAGCTCAATCCGACTCGACTGACACCCCTTTCCCTTTGGTCCGACCCCATTGAAATAGCTCGCTTCCTGGACCTTCCGTTAGTTGACGACCATGATTGAATGTTGCCCTGAAATAGGCGGGGCTTAGTAGTGCCGCTACAACAACAACAACAACTGCTTTCTCTTCAATGTTGTTGTTGTTGTTGTTGTTGTAGCAGCATACAAATTCCCCAAAGACTTTTTGGGGAGTGTTGCTGGAGTGACAGTCCTTGGCCAGATATAAATCTGGGTCGTTACGGTTACGTAGACCCGACTGTCGTGGGAACGCTTTCTCTTCAATCTTGCAGTTCAGTTGTAAGAATTTCGTATGTCTTGGGAGGCTGATCGCGATACGGGGGCTGAGGGACGTGTGAGGTCCACCTTGGGTCTGCTGTACCCGACACAGTTACTGTTGCTGCCTGGTGATGGGTGCCTGCAGTGGGTTCGATGTTGTCTACGGCGGCAGTGCTCTTTAGCAGGGGGCGCAGTAGTTCGCGTGTGGTGCGTAGACTAGAGCATAAGCGGAAGCGGTACCAGCGAAGGCATGGGTTGAATTTGACTGATACCACGTTGCGGTATACTCTGTTCTGGCGAACGAAGCAAATCGTGTGGGGAACCAAGATCTGCTGGTTGGCTGAGGGAGTGGGAGGTTTGCTGTTGCTCTGGGGAGCTTCTTGGAGTCCTGTAGGCTCCTTGGGTGCGCGTTGCACGAGTGCGTAGCCGTGGAGGCTGGTGGTGCCGTTTGGCTTGAGCAACAGGGGGCCACAAAGCTTGTGGTCCACTCCCGGTGAGACCTAAGGCCAGAACAGGTTGTTAAGTGACTCCATACGTTGCAGGAATTGCACCTAACCGAAGTGGAGTTTGGGTGGAGTCATCTCTGGCAAACGCAGCAGAAGTATGTTTCTTGTCCGAGGTGAGGCTCAATGCCAGCCCATAGAAGAAGGACGCGGAGCAATCCGGCTGCGGGGTATTGCTCCATGGACGTAAAATGATTGAAAGATATCGTCGATATAAACGGGATTAGGTCGCCGAAACAAAGTCCCTTGGTCGGGTAAACCCCGAGTCATTCCGGTACGTAGATCCGGCTGTCGTGGGAATGAAATTTCTAGTAATCACCTGTTATTTATTTGCACTGCCATGTTATTTCTTAGAGTGCATTCAGCGTATACCACTACAAGTTGCCGATGACTAACAATTTGTATGGTTCGATAATATAAATTAGATGATATAAAATACTTAATAAAAACCGTAAATTAAGTAATCATTGATTATACATCTGAAATAACGAAAGGTTTTAAGTAGCCTTCATAATATTAAGAATTATTTCATGTATGCCTTTTCTGACCAATTTTGAATGCATTCAATCAGATTGAAAAATAATCGTATTTTTTCATATATATTTTAGAGATGACGAAAATGTTACTGGGTTGCAACCAGCGGGGCGACAAAACAAATATTTATCTCAACAGATTGCATCAGGTCGCGGTAGTACATATACAAAAACAAATTGCGATATCGCACGGCTTACACCACAGCAACAGAAACACTTGTATAATCAAAATAATACGAAAGAAAAAAACCAAGAGCCAGTTCACGTTTTGCGGCTACAACCTCCATCGAAACCGCCGCCTTCAATATTAAATAGGCACGTAAATGATAATGAAAATGCAGGTCCGAAAATCACTGACGAGGGGCAACAACGTGTCTCAAATGCACTGCAGCGATCTGCAACACTTCCAGCAAAACATTGCCGCTTAGGCATTCGCAGTCGCGTAACATTTCAGGTGCCATCACCAGCTGCTCCGCTGGGTGATAAGAGCAATTACATCAATAGCAACAATACCGTGTGCCGTGTTGAAGCAACAGAAGTTAAAATGGCCTCGGAAGACCTCTTACAACCAGGCCACGTAGTCAAAGAACGATGGAAAGTACGTTAACTAATTTTTTATCGACCTATTTAATATTAACAATTCTTAATAATAGGTTGTGCGAAAAATAGGTGGCGGAGGCTTTGGAGAAATCTATGAAGGCCAAGATCTGATAACTCGTGAACAAGTTGCGTTAAAGGTGGAATCGGCACGTCAGCCGAAGCAGGTTTTGAAGATGGAAGTTGCTGTCCTTAAGAAACTGCAAGGGAAAGAGCATGTTTGTCGCTTTATTGGCTGTGGTAGAAATGATCGATTTAATTATGTTGTGATGCAATTGCAAGGTAAAAACCTGGCGGAGTTGCGTCGCGCACAACCGCGTGGAGCATTTTCATTGAGTACAACGCTACGATTGGGATTACAAATATTGAAAGCTATTGAATCCATACATTCAGTGGGATTTTTACACCGTGATATTAAACCTGTAAGCGAAAATTATAAAATGTAATACTTATGTTTGCATAATTTACTTTTCATTCACAAACTATATAGGTATTTTTTTTAATATTAAACAGCGACACTATATATCAAAGCAAAACGATAAATAACACTTCTTGAAAACACGTTCCTTAAATATTCTTTTAAAGCATTTCTCATTAAAACTGGTTCGCACTCTAGCGATTCCTGCACTTTCATTGGCAGGTTGTACTGACAAATTGTAATGCAGCTCGTTAGGAAAAATATATACAGTTATGAGAATTTTGACACCACTGGGTTTTTATTTGGTGCAATAAGCTTTTTTTAGTAGAAAATCCGTCGTGTTTTCCTTCCTATTTATCCAGCTCAGTATCCGGATCACTTCTCACGGTAACAATTTGGATCATGCTTATTGGGGTGGGCAGCATTAATTTTATACTACTGCCACGAAGAAGAAGAAATCACAGTATATACCACGATGCCGCGAAACAAAGGTGGCACCTTCCGCGGATCGCTAATCCTCTCTTCTTTGACTGCATCCACCCTTTCGCTGACGTCACATTATTATTTTTTCGCACTAGTGATGAATATTAAATTTTCATATTGTACCTATTTCCCTAAAAGTTGTACCTAAAAGAAGATATACGTACCTAAACAGTAAACATGTATTTATATGTGCACATATTTTTGAGAGTTGGTGGACTACATCTTCCTTCTGTACCTTAACAACATTTGGACTTACACATAAAAAATAGCAATTGCTTTTACTTAAAATTTCATACCTTTCACTTAAATTTGTTTGAAAAAATCGTGTTCCAAATGTATCTAAAATAATCTGCTTGTACCGAATGTACGTTAAAATTTAAGAAGCTGAATAGTAGGTGTCGATAACTGGGTAGTGTAACCGCACCCTAAATTCGCCATCGTGCAATCATATGGCAACCCCAGTCAGTAACAATCGCAGCCAACGTGAACCTTTTTCATTCGTCGATTTTGGATAAGAGAAGAAAGATGGCGGGCAGCGAATATACAAGTTTTAGTATCTCGTCAGTATTTCGTTTTTAGTATTTTTAATCAATTGAAAGTTCAACTTTGTATTTGACTTTATCTTTTATTTTGTAATTTGTTAAACGTATGACAATAAACGTCTATGTGACTTGTCGTCGCCAACATAAATCTCTAAAACTTGTTCTCTGCCGCCATCAATTGCAAATCATCGCCTCGTAAGGAATCAGGCGATCAGGTCGCCGCCATTTCCTAAGGCTTAATTGGAAGTCATCGCCGTGCAAGGAGTCGGAGTCGCTGTCGTCTGTAAAAGCCGAGCAGCGTAGTTACTGGTTTTTCATCGTAATCTGAGCCGCCATCGTCTTGTTTGCCTGTTGCAATTCGCAACAATTTGCCAATTTGCCGCCGTCCCTTTGCAAAGTAGCAGCCAGCTACAAAATTTGCAACAAGGTATCATCAGCACCCTTTCGATTTAGCCATTGCCGTGCAATCGAAAGCGACAGGTGCTAGCAATCGGAATCTGTACAAACAACGTGTTGAAGCCGCCATACAGATTCGGGCCTAAAACTTTGGATT